CAGTTTTTCTCGCGATCCTACATCTACGGATGACCTTCTGTATTTTACACCTACGGGGAAATTGTTAATAGGTCAGCTTTGCAGTTCATGGACGTCTGCTAGGAAACAGGTCACATCCCCACGTACTGTGGATCTAACAGCGGATGGAGTTTTTTTACCCCCGTATTTTGGGGTACATCGACGGCTGGCATCTTCATCGATCCGTCTACTGTAACTTCTCGCAGTTGGAAGGTCTATTTGGGATTAATCTAGTTATCTCCCGGAATAGGTACCAGCGAAACAAACAGAGTTGGATTTGTTGGCTGAGCGTTAAAACAGCAAATACGAAGCCTCCTGTCATGTTATAAAATTGTAGATTATGCTAGCTTTAGTGTACCTATAATCTTAATTTTATGAATGACAGGAGGCGAGTATTTCCCACCCTTTCTTATCCCTCCCTAGTTTAATTTTTATAGTCTGAGTTCATCAGGAACGTATGCAACTCTGCTTGTTGTCTCTGCTACCTGTCTCTGGTTCTTGAGTCTGTTTCTGAAGTAAGGGTTGGGGTTTCTGTATATTATGGTATTTCTAGTTGTTACACTGGGTTACTACCTGTTTTGTTCAGAGTACATTTCATTGGCTAACCAACCTTTTCGATTCTGTTTTTTCTCTCGTTTCAGTTTACAGTCCATCAACTCCATCTAATTTGGCAGTTCTTCTCGCAGTTCTTCTCTTCCCCATTATTTTATGCCTTTTGTTATGTTTTGTCGCAGCTTGAAAGAGGAAATGATGTATGGGGAGGGGAGTTTTATAGTACCTAACTTTTTTTCTGATTGGTTGTTTTTCTGTGCTGCTGTGGAGTTCTAGTAAAGAGAGACTTAAGCAAATACTCGCCTCCTGTCATTAATAAAATTAAGATTATAGGTACACTAAAGCTAGCATAATCTACAATTTAGTGAATTAAAATCCAAATGTAAAAACTCTAGTTAAAATAGTTAAACTGTGTTTAGTTGGAGAATTTTTGGCCTAGATTTTGCCATTCAAATTTCAATGTGCTATATTTTGGAGTTTAGTGAATAAAACATTTTAACTTTTTTTTTGCTATCTAATCTGTCTTTGTCACTGGTGGTAGGAGTATTTCTACCAATGTAGCAACCTCAAGGTGAAAGGGAGAGGCAAGTTTCATGAAGATTACATATATCAGCCAGTTCCCATACACACCCTACCTCATAAAGGTACATTGTGCAATATCACAGTTAAAGGATCACTATAGTGTCAGGAAAACAAACTCATTTTCCTGACACTATATCATCCTTAGGACCCCCCCACCCTCAGGGTCCCCCTCCCCTGGCGCTTATCTTAAAACCAGTGCCGGGCTCCCTCGGAGCTGGTGACCTCTCCTCCCCCGCCGACGTCAGCTCCATGTTTACATCTAAAACCTGGTCGACCTGGCACCCAGACCATTTCATTGAGCTGAAATGGTCTGGGTGACTATAGTGTCCCTTTAAACAAAAATACAGTAGTATTTCTGCTTGTTGTCACTGATCATGTGATCTACACCACTCTACAGAGAAAGGGAAATTGGTGTTTGGTTATAAAACCAGAAATGAAATGTGATGCAATAGACTGCAGCTGCGCTAATACTAAATCAGTAAAAAAAAAAAAAAACACTTCAATTTTATAAGTAGCTCTGCCTGGGAAAACACATCTCAGCATTTCCTAGGGACATTTTAGAAGCAGTGCAATGCTGTCCTGTGAACCCAATATTATTTTGTACAATCTAGAGATCTTAGATTTCAAAGTGATTAGTCCCAAACACAAACATCTTTGTGGTGAGCACATTTTAAACAAGGG